TTTCTAAATCGTACTTGATGTTATGTGTAGGAGGAGTAGCGGTCGATATGTTGCCACCGTGCCTTGATGCGTGAAACCTAACTATGTATTCTGCAGTCTGTGTCGTTGCCCAATACTGAAATAGCAGTATATACGCCGGGTAGGTTGCAATAATAAACCAGCTATTCGAAATTTGTGTATTCTGGGTAATAAGTTGCCAAACGGTAAGTTTCAAACAAACAATAAATTTCCGTAGTAGTTATTTCCAAAAGTCATGTGCTTCACCCGAGCCGCATCAATTTTCTTCATTCCAGTCCAGTAGCAGGATTATGTGAAGCTACACTTTAGTGCGGTTCAGCGTCCGGTTATCGATTTTCACGTTTCTTGACGCTCGACAATTTCGCTGTACGTTCCGTGCCAATACACAGTGGATTTTTCAAATCATTGTTTGACAGATTGAAGTCTTATATCGAAATTGTGAAAAGTTCATTAGCCTCGGTGGAATTCGAACCCACGCATGGACGCCGCCTACGCTTTTGTACAGTGCATGCTCTACCAGCTGATCTACGAGGTCACACCGAAAACACTGATCTTTTCACGTTCTAATAGATTTCGATACTTCATTCATGTGCTGCAGTCATCTCTCTGGAAGCCTTGCGATCTGTTAGGTGCAGTTCAGCTGCCTAGTACATTGACTTCCCGGAGAATTGGACCGGGGAAAAAGATGTTTGCTTGTTATACCAGATGAAACCAGCCTTAGATTATGCCATCAATCGATGAGGTTACACTACTGCTAGGTGAATTTGTCGATTGCCGGAATGGATGCTTCTATCCGTCTCCATGATATTGTGTCTCTCAATTTCGTGGATCCCAGCAAATCCGACTCGCTTCATTCTTCTGTGCAATAAGATACTGACTAACAATAGTGTCGACCCCGTTCAGTAGCAAAACTTTCGGCCCAAAAGTTAGCTTCTTGTTGTACTATGTTATTGGGGTTGGATGAAATCATGTAACGCACACAGATCAGAAAGGTTATGGCAACCTCTCCCTCTCTCTTTCCATATGTGTAGCGTGTGCTAGCCTATGCGGCTAACAAAAATGCGTTTCATTGTGACAGGCATCAGGCACGCTGTTTATTAATTGGCAACGTTAACTTGACTAATTTGCATAGTGCTCTACCATGTGTGTGAACCCCTTCCAGTCCGTCCTCGTTCGACAAGCATCTCGCTCAATAGAGCTGCAGTTTCTGCCATGCACAGCAGCACAAAATCATTCTGTAACTCAATGTCCTATCGACAAAGTGCTATTGTTCAATGCTCTTTGGGAATGAAAAACATTTTTCAATGTGCGCTGTATGAGTTGTTTTTCTCCGGCGTTTTTGTTTCCCTTCTTAGTCCGGAATGGTGACATGAGGATGGTTATTAATCGGATCTGTGCCTTAGCCGGATAGCGCGTTTTATAAGGCGTGATCATATCGAGGTTGGACTGCATATAGCTCCTAGCCTTAACAGTCTTGTATTGTTTATTTATTTGTCATCGTTTTCAACGTCCCTATTCCCCCTCCTCCTTAAATAGGATATGCCAGAATACGCACATATCAAACAGATTTTGGACAAACCGCGGTTAGAAGCAGAGGAACTGTTGAAAGACCGATTCCCCATGCCCCGATACATTGAAACGGAACACGAGGGTAGCCAAGCTCGATTTTTGTTGTCCAAGGTCAATCCGTCGTTAACACACAATACCATGTACAGTTTCGGTCAGGTAAGTCTGTTTTTTTTCGCACTCGATCACATTTATTATTGTGCAATTTCATCCATCAAATGTTCCCATTTATTTCTACCGGTCTGTTGATCTCAGATTGATTGCGACACTGTGTGTGTGCAATGAACATGCTATTTGCGTCGCCCCTGACTCTGTTACCGTTCGCTCACCTTTTTGTGTAACCCGTTGACATCTCACCTGGTGATGTAGTATTTACACGCGTAGTGATCGACTTCTGCCCAGCCAATAGTGCGTGGTGGATAAATTTAGCTGTCTGGTTGTTGGTTCTTTTTAAAATGAACGCGCTCTGGTCCTTTGCTATCCTTCATCCGAGAACGGTTTAGTGTTATAAATTTTCAATTCCATGAATCCAATCTTAAAACGGCGAATCCCACGCTGCACGTATCACCACTCAAGATAAGAACACACGTGTTTCTCTGTGTTGATTAATCATCTCATTGAGTCTCTGAGTAGTTAGTTCGGTTTTCACTGACTGCTGGTTCGCGGATATTCATTTAAACTGTTGGGAAAACGAATGAGAACCTCCAATCCTCCAAGACAGTTCATTCACAAATCGATCTAACTGTCTGTAGAACTGTGCTCACGTTGACCAGAATTCAGCGCAATACAGTTGTACACCTAATTTTCATGAATGCTACTCAGCCAGCCTTCATTCGCATTCGGTACATTCGACAGTCTCTTTGATGATGATCAACCTTCTGTGACAAGCTAAAAGCAATAATGGAGGATATTTCAGTGTCTACGGGGGTGAGAACCGCTTTATAACCTCATCAGTATTAATAATACAATGTGGACCTTCCGGTTTAGAACGTACACCAAAATGAGCGTTGAACAAGTGCAGTCTGGGTGCATGACGACCGACAAAGACTCTCGGGCTGACCGACTGCTATCGAAAGATGTATCTCAAGTGGGGTGCGATGCATTGCTCTCGCAGCGCCATGCGGTACTGTCACGTGGAACGCCGAGACAACGATGAATCGTTGTCGATCCAGAATATGAGGATTAGTTTCTGTTCCGACAGTGGCCTTAATTGTTCATGCAGTATTTTTCTCCGTAGTTCAAACCAACAACGGTTGCATCGATGGAAATGAACTCTTCCGCATCCGGTCGAACAACTCCTCACCCCGGCAGTATCCCTGTCATCTTGTCATATGCACACTCACTAACCGGACAGATACTGTGCTCTTTTTGCACAATTATTTTCCATCGAACCGGGTGTCTGAATGCCTATTGACTCCCGTATGTGAATAGGGGTCAACTCTGCATGGTTCACGATTGTAGGTGAAATTCGTCTGAGTCGCGTGATTGCATTTCACCGCTGTTGCAAGTGCAGTTATAGGTGATTGAATGGAATAGTGCGTGAATTGTTCTGGCGGTTCGGTGACCACGGAACAGTGTGTCTAACACTCGGATTTCTCTCGTTCATTGTGCTCACACTCTGGTTCCGCTCTGATGTTTGTACACGTGTGTGTATTGGTGCGTTTTATCCGATTCTATTCTCTGCCCCACTATCGTATGATTTCTCACAGCGCGCGGATGACGTAAGTTCAGGCATAAAATTTCTTGTCTGCAAACTTTGCATTTTTACAAATATGCATACTATCGCGGCTTGGGTTTACCACCGGTTCGAGTTTCTGACCACCCCATTCCATCGCTTCCACTTGATGTCACGTTGAATCGTTGATGTAACAATTTTCCTTCTTTATATTATATATCTCTCTACCTGACAAAACATCCTCCTGTCATATTTCTGGACTTATTGCCTACCTCCAGTTTCTGGGCTAATCCAAACGCAACCTGAAAATCATAACAAACTTGAGAGTAGTTTTTGTTTATTGTGTTATGATAGTCTTACAGGCTGAATAGAAATAGTTAACAAGTATAGTTATGTGCTCCGGCCGTCGACCGCGTCGCTCAACGGATTTCCGAACCGAGGGCTCGTGGTCCAACTCCTAGCAGGAACATAAAAACCTACTCAATCTAATATAGGTCACCTTCAAGGCAAGCATCAAGTCTGCATCGATTAAGACACACCAGGGTGGTGGTTATTGGTAATCGGTAATCCGCTGTACCGTGCTTGCATTTCTGTCTTCCCCATCTGCTCTCAGTTGCCCACGCTTCAATTATCTTAAGTGTGTGCTGTGCAATTGTCTTGTTTTTCGCATTTTTCTCTACCGAAATCGTCCTAACTTACAGAGTCACCTGGGTGATTGTTGGACACCCTGAATAATGGGTTGGGGCGGTGGTGGGTCTGATTACAGTTTTCAATGAATCGGCTTCCAAGAGAACATCAGTGCTACTCCGTTACAAGTTTTGACATTCGTATACCGCTAGGTGAGATGCCACAATAGGGATAACTCACAAAGTTGATACTGGAGTATATTTTATTTCATTTTTTTCACACACGTCTGACGCCAAATTGTGTGCCCAACAAATCATGGTTCAATAGTCTTTATGAANNNGCGGTATGTGGAAACCGCAGTTCATTGGGGGCCGGTGTCCAGTTCACCGGTTCACAAGTCCTTCACACTGGGTGAAACGTCCAAGGTGCCCAATCGAGCCGGTGACCACTGCCACAACCGGGAGGGTGTGTGTGGTTCGTGCGCCTCCTCTTGGTTGGTTTGGAATCAGGGTTTTTGGCCAACTCCCCTAGGTGAACTGCCAATGGTCCACTCTCCCAGATGTCGGCTTTTCATCCTCTCACTTTGGTGGGAAAACACTCACGCCACGAGAAGGCAGTGAGTACGGCTTCCTCAATGGAGGCTATTTGAGACACTTAGTCATACAGAAGCATTTTGCGACATGCAAGGGAAGGGTGACCAGCCACAACCCTAGACACCACCTCCGACCATACTGAGGCTTTTGGAGGCTGCTACTGGAGCGGCAAGCCACATGGAATGACAGTCAGACAAAACACTATTCAGTGCACAAGATCTCAAAAAAGGATGGTTTATTCCTTAAGTAGGCGATTCATCTGGTGGGTCTCTCTATTTTCTTCAATTCATTTAATCTTTTGCCTGGTATTTCCCTTCGGCTATTCACTTGGCGAAGAAGGTTGGCTATGAAAAGTTGTCATACCGCATCAAATAAGTAATCGTGAACAAACAGCGACGGCACTACCAGGGTGTGGTGGGTTTCAGGTTGGTCACCTGGCTCCTGTATAAGCCCGATGACGGTGTCGTGACAAAGGTCGATGTGACTGACCTTTTAAAACCAAAGTCATTGACCCCCTCACTTCCGAGACGAGGGATTACTTCCTGCTACCTTGCAGTTCGCACTTGGTTGTGCTAAGGCTAGAAGTGCGCCCCCAAAATAAAAACACGCCGAGTGACGCTGTGGACGTCTTTCGTATCAAACTTTCAAGGAACTCCATGGTCATGTCTGGAGCTGGCTTATCCTTCCCAAGGAGCCAGCCGCAGTCAAGTAAAGTAAGTCCCTGGCGAACGAGCGATAACTTGGCCATACTGACTCCGGTTGAGATTCGCAACCAGGCAATCGAAACTCGATCTGCAGGGCTTAGGTCAGTGGGACGTGTTCTGTACTCACAACCTGCAACTTTGCGACTGACAGTCATTCATACCCATCCATCCCTCCTTCTATCAACGACGGACAGCTTATATGATTTTATAATACTCATACAACAAGTAGTCAGGTTGTGAAAGTTTCCAACGGAGTCGTAACTCTGGAGGTTAGTGTTGAGATGAGCGATACCCGCAGCAAGCTCGCAAAGATGGGTTGTGCTATACCGTGTATATTCAAAATGAGAAACGATCTGATCAGCTGTCCGCTGGTCAAGTGGAAAGTATGCTTGCGTTCTACCTGTGAGGTCCCGGGTTTCATTCCCCCAGTTGAGTCGATAGATTTACACTGCTGATGAGATGCAACCAGGTCGAAACAACTATCCAGGTTTTCAGATCACACCTCGTTTTCACGACGAACTCATCACATGGTACAATATTCTTCGCTATTTGAAAATAAGTGCTTTTTGTCCCCCCACTAACTTTTGCCGTACTTTTTCTCGCTCGCTTTTCCTAGGATACATTGGTTACATTCTGAAAGATGAGGTTTTTAGCCATCGAGTTTTCGTAAATGAGTTAGAGTTTGTATAACCTCGTGCTTTTTGTTACTGTCTTTTTACTGCATTTGGATGAAGGAGTGGACGGGTACACTGTGGGTGTAGCATCGGATTCAAGATACGCAATGCATTGCGGGCATCTACCTTGTGTAAAAGTCATGTACAACAGTAATAAAACAATCAAAGGTCGCCCTTGTCAGTTTAGACTCGAGCCAAATGGAGCATTGTTGAATTACGATAAGTGTTTGTGCAGGAGGATAGGCAGCGATAACGGGATCGGGCCGCAGCGCTTCCACAATAAAATTGTCCCAGTTACTATGATTTCGTCACCCGTGTTTCAATAGCGACCTATGTCCAGTTCGCCAGCTTCGCGCAGATTCCCCTAGCCCAACTGAACGTGGATCGTTCGCCTGTTGACCGGGACTAGTGTTAACCCTCCGGTACTTTTTGCCAAAAGGTGTATTTCGCCACCCTTTGGAATTGGTCAAGTGGCACTGTGTACGTTGTTGCTTCTGTGTGGCGTATTGGTGTTCGGTTTTTGTTTTCCGCTCATTTCTATGCCGCACTCTCCCTTCCACTGTTTGGTTTTTTTCTATTCGCTCGCACTATTTCCCCCTCGAGATTTTCCTAATACAAACAAACAACCGTTGCTATCATGACTGAGCAGTTTCAGGCAGTTCAAGATTCTGTATCTATCAAATTTGACCGGATCTTGTATTTTTTTCACCAAGTCTTGGATAATGCTGTGGGATTTTCCCTGAGCATAGTATACCGATTCGCACAAACGAACAGTCAATCCATTTGAATATTGGGTGAATTCCTTTCGCAAGGGTGTGTTCCATCAACGATGTTTCCTCGCGCGCGTGTCTGTGCTATCTATCTTCATTCAGAATGCGTAGTTTTTTCTCCCCGTTGACTTGATATTCTTTCATCCAAGTTAATTCGTCTTTTTTCATCCAAATAGGCTAGTTAGCATTATTTCTGCTACTGCTGGTTGATTCATATTTCAAGAGGCTAAACCAATTTGACTCTGCTAAGATGAATACATCGAAAACAAGCTTGTTCGTTGTTTCCTGTTTTATCAAGCTCTGGTCCCGTCCGTCCTTGCCATTTTTGTTTATGTAACTTCTGACGAGAGCCAAGTGATTAGTCACCACACCACTATGCGTTCACAGTCGTCTAGTTGTACCGGCAAAACCTGGTTAACCCAATTCAGTGATGCTATACTCGTGTCCGCCGATGTGCTTGGTATCCCCGGAACTCTGCTTACCCCGTGTATCCAAAGTACCATATAGCTCATCTGCTCCTGATGTGCTAACATAAACAAAAGCAGGCAATCTGATGCTCTGTAGTCGGACTGGAACAACCTCCAGAATTTTCTATGAACATTACTGGAATCGAAGACGTGGTGTGAAAGTGGAGATAATCATACCCAATAATAATTATTATAACTACAGGATGATAGGCCTTACCTTCGACCATTGACGCCCTTCGTACCTTGGACAGGTATCAGAAGCGCCCAACAGAAAAAATGTGATTGGTAATCGCTCTGTAATGACACATCTAGCGTCAATGAGGACACAGTAAATCGGTGAGGTGTTTTTGGCTATAGCGCTGTTTACCTCAAAGGTACCATTCCAGTATGGTCTCATCCGCGAGGTCCATCACCGGATGGGTTTTGAGGTTGCTGCCTTTTCCTATTTGAAATGACTAATTGTGAATAAACAAAAGGGAAATCTTGAAACTCAATCAGTGCGTATGTCAAATTGAGTATGCTTATTTCGGATATCGTCTCTTAACTCAGTCACAGATAGTATGGAACTGGAGAATAACAATGCACACAGGCTGTATAAAACTCGGTTCCCTGAGATTCCAGACAGTACAACACTTTTCCATTGTTCTCCAACCATCTTTTCTCTCCTCTTTCTCCAGGAAACGGGTAGCGTGGTCCTCACGGATGATGTGTCACTCCAAGGTTTCATGGATCATTTGAAGAAGTTGGCTGTGTCCAGTTCGGCTTGAATGCACAATACTCGCTAACGATTAGACCAGTCACGCTCACAACGCAGCACTGTTGGCGTGTACACTGCGTTCTACGCATGTATTTTGGCGTTTAATTTCGTTTCTTTTTTCTCTTCCCGCTAATTTGTGATGTTCTTTCTCTCTTCCGCACATACTCTCCTTGTCCATCCCCGTATTGCCTTCGATGCACTCTGTTCCATTTGTTTTGTTCGGCGACGAACCGCTACAATTTTTTCGTCTACATTAAAACCAAATCCTCTCTTAGGAATCCCTCCAGGTTCTATTTAAGACCATCTTCTGCTTCCCCATGCTCTCTTCTGTCGTCCACGGTGATGTCACAAAGTATGCTGTTGCATTGTACCCACTAA